ATATATATATATATATTCTCCTCTAAAGCATAGCTGAGTTAAGGTGTCATACACCATCTCCTGTGGATCAGCTTTGTTCTCTCCATCATGAAATCATGCAGCGTTTCACTGCTTTTAAAAGAAAGAGGAAAAGTTGATTCCATTATTCATGCTTGATGCTCAGCCTGTACACACACCTACTGATAATATATGAACCCGTTAATGTATTCCTGCTAATCTCACGGTGTTTCCAGCCGCAGCACAGCGGCACCTGCGACACCCAAAACACCAAACAATCAATCCGTATCTTGTGCGCTCGTGCCGTGCATGACTGATTCACAAATGTAATAGAATGCGTCTGTTTAGACGGCTGCTTGTGTGTGTGCGCGTACCTGTGAGTTCTGGTGAACCAACAGACACTCATCCAGGTGGGCAAGAGTTCGATCCACTGACTTTCGCACCCTCTTGCGGGAGGTGTTGTTCTCCCAGGTCTCTCCATCGGCCATGCTCTGGTACCAGTCTGGCTGCACGGTCTTCTGGAGAGCCATGAACTTGGCCACCGTCAGTTCTATCCGCCCACCGCTGCCCCACACGGACACCGTCTAATGACAACCCCCAGAAATGTAAAAAACAAAAAAGGACGCTTGAGGTGAAACAACAGCTTTAGTGAATTCATTATCTTTAAACAGGTTTGCATTGTGGGAGAAATATCAGAAAGATCGATACCAATCTCACAGCAGCTGGTTAGCTTAGCTTAGCATAAGGACCAGAAACATAGTACACAGTTAGCCTGGATCTGTCTGAAGGCAGCTGAAGCTCACTATTTATCAAAGTGTGGTTTAATGTTGTGCGTTATGAGTATTTCTTGGGCATAGTCTCCGCTGGTTAAGAAATAGTCCAACACATAAATCCCCATAAAACTACAACTTCCTAATTTTTACTTCGGAGCTTTAGAGGTGCTGGTAGGTGGATTTTGTTACCTTTGGACAGAGCAATGCCAGCTGTTTCTTTATGCTAAGCTAACAGGCTGATGGCTACAGCTACATGTGTAGCACACAGATATGAGAGTCGTGTTGATCTTCTCATCGTCTTCTCCTTAACTCTCGGCATTCAAAAAAGGAATGAGCGCATTTCCCAACATGTGGAACTATTCCTTTAAGCAGAAGCTTCTTCTCACCTTGTTGGTGGTGTAACCCGTTGGGCAGGGAGTCGCAGGGTCGTGAAGCGAGCAGTAAAACACAGCATCATGAAGACCTGCACGAAACGAAAAAATCAATGCAAATTTCAAGTTAGACAAAAGGGGTTAGAGTCTGCAAAGACAGAGCACGAAGCGAGGTGACAGAGTGGAAAGCTTCATTACTGCACGTTAATGTGACGAGGAGTTGGGAGAGAGGAATGAGGAGCGGCCTTATCAGCAGACAGCTGCATCAGGAGATCAAGAGTTGAGAAAACAAATGGCTTTATAGCAGCAAATGTCATTATTTCTATAATATAGATATATTCTTCCCTTCTGAGGCTTCAGAGACAGCACAGTACTAATCCCCCGACTGTAAAACAAGTGATTACATTTATAATGTGTTTGCTTGAAGCAGAGTAACAGGGCTACTGTTGTACAGCAAAGCTGAATGAGGTTGCTGTTCTGGGGCATTTATTAATATTGCTCAGAACGGTCAGGCTCATGGAGCTAATCAGCTCATACTATATATTTAGAAGCAATTTTTTCCAGTCTTTCCAATCTATCCAGTGGGAATGATGTACACCACAAGCTCTTCGGATTAAATTTGTGCACGGTGCATGCTTGACATTTACATCGCAAACATCAACTAGTAGCAGTACAGGATTTTGAGCCTGGCAGAGGTTCTTCTGATGTGGTTGCTATTTAAAATGCGACTAATGCAGAGGGTTAAAAGGAAAACAGTTCAACTAACAGTCGCTTTCATCCTCTACATCCTCCTAAATCGTTGACATGGAGATGATTTTACTTGTTGTTTTGACAGTGTGAGAGACAGACGTGTTTTTAATGATTACCAAAGCTACTTCGGTCAAGGGACGGAAACACAGCACAGGTCAAATGCCATGCTTTGCCAGCAGAGACACACCGAACGGTCCATTAAAGGGGAGGGGGAGAAAAAAGATATTTGATCCCAAAGCCTCTTTTAAAGATACATGAACATACGATAACCTGCTACTACCTGCTCTACTACATCAATATGTCTAATCAATGCTGTGTGGTCTGCTAGAATGTCCCAACTTATCCTCTTCGCTCTTCTGATTACTCTAAGTGGTACTGAGGAAGATTAGAGGAAGAACAAAAATGGGAGGGATCAAAAGTACCTGCAAATTTCTTGAATCCATCCTTGAACTCCTCCAATACTTCCTGATGCTCTGCTCTTGAGGGGGGGGGGGGGGGGGGAGAGTTAGATTTCAGAGAGAGTTGTGTGTGTTTATATTATGATTATTTCATTTAACAAGCGACAATGCACATTATTTAACATGAGCCGCCGTGTAAATGTGCCAGATTTAGCCATGCAAGCTTATTTTCATCTGAAATCTCTGGCAGGCTGATGATATGAAAATAAAACGCATAAGAGCCCATAAGCACAGACCCATACGCATGTAAGCATAATTAAAAGCACATTTTAAGCACAGACAGTTGGTAAAATATTGACATAACCACTATAACAGATTATGACAGCATGTTTGATTGTCGAGATAGATCGATAGATGGTATGTTCCTTAGTTAATTGGGTATAGTGTTTCAGGTGTGTGGTATTTTACACTCTCCTATGGTAGTGGCTCTGGTTGATGAGTTTTTAAAAATGTATTTATGAATTCATTGAGCAGACTTGGGGGCAGATCATAAAAAGTAGAAAAACAGCAAATTTGGTCACCTTTTCCCAGTCATTGCCATATTTCGTTAATATATATTTAGTTAGTACATATTTTAGCCTACTTATACATTGTTTCTACTGGTTTTAATGTGGTTCTACCTGTCTGCGTCCAACTGATAAGAGTAGTTAATGTGTATGGTGTGTGATGAGTTACGAGCTTACATGTTGGACAGGGTGAGCTGAGTGACCGAGGGGAGGTTGCTCAGGGTGAGCAGTGTTTCCTGGGTGAGGTGGGGCACCGTGCCCAGGTGTGTGTGCAGCAGACATCCAGGGACCTCCAGAGAGTGCTGCCCCGTCTTGCCAAGCTCCTTCAGGACACCCAGCCGACCTCTTCCCTGAACTGCACGGGACAGCTCCAGCTTCATCCTGCTGCCAGCCATGCGAGTAGCGCCAGAAAGGTTGATAGAACTACACTTACGACCAATAGCTAAACCACAACGAGTTTGAACGACAGTGATCCCAGTTAGCAAAACACACGTGACGTACCTTAGCCACTTAGCTAGCTAGCCATTCACGTGTTATTAAAGCTTTCGCCGAGTTGAGATGTTTAACGTTAATGCTCTTCACTGACGTTAAGAAAACGCACGCATTTGCAGTTATGCTGGTTTTAAATAAATACTTGTTTAATGAAGAGCATCTTGTCATTCACTCACCTACAAACTTCACTGTCTGACATGAAGCATGGAAGAAGCTGCGCTCATACGAATCCTACGGAGGCATGACCCGCCCTCCTGGGTCTCTGATTGGCTAGTACTCGTTGCCTCCGTTGGTTGGGTTGGTTAGAATATCACAGTAAACCAATCAGAGGCAGGAAAAAAATACATGAACTACAAGTCGCCTAAATATGTCGTCATCACCGAGCGGCCGCGGCAGAACTTGGAAAACTACAGAATACGCGATTCCATCCTTTTTGATCAAAACACAAATTTGTTGTGTTGTTGTGAAACAGTTTAAAGACGTTATGTTAGTGGATTTTTTTAAATTCATTCTACTTTTAAGTTGTATTAAATTTAAGCTCAAATTTGGCTCACACCGTTTTCACGGTTACCAAGAACAACAAAGAAAGTATTAGTGGTCCACGTAGTCCTGAAACGCATCGTTAAGGCTAGAAAAATGGTTAATATACTACATTACCCAGAATACTGTGTGATTAAACTCGATCCTCGTTTTGTTTACAGTGACTTCTGTTGAGCGAGGGCTCTTTGTGACGACTTCTGAACACTTTTTGTTGATATAATAGTGGTGAAATAGCTGGCTTGTGTGGCTGTTGGCAGAAGAGGACATTATAGTGACGGTTGGGATTACATTAAACAGATGATGACGTTCCCAGGTCACAATCCTCACCTGCTCAGGTGGCGAGGGCTCGGCAAGAGTAAAACATCTGCGGACAAGGTACCTGTAGTCTTTGGATTTATGTTAAATTGAGAGGAATGGGGCTTCTAATTCAAATTGGAAAAAGGTAATGAAACCGTGTATCTAGATAATAGCCTACATTTGAGCTCACCTCAACGTTTACTCTTTCATAAATTATTTATTTCAATCTATTTAGATTTTTTAGACCCTTCATATTTCCCAGGATTATCAAATCCCCTCGAGAGATCGAACATAATTGTAAAAAGGGCCCTATTTAATCTATGAATGAAGGAAAAGCACATTAGTGTTATTACTATGTATGAACCTCATGTCGGGTTTAGAATTGTCAAAGGCCTACATACAGATGGGCTTTGCCTGCAGCATCATATGTCTGCTGTACCTGAGACATAGATTGCTAAATCGCTGCTAAAGCACCGACATTTGGACGTCCGGGAAATGATTTTTAAAGTAATCTGCTGATTTAAGGCAATGGCTAAGCTTTCCTGTGAAATGATCCGCATCATTCATTGGCTCAGCCATCCTTTTGCAGACTGTGCTCAAGGTGCCAGTGAGCTTGGCTGGGCATTTTCAGGCAGGCAAAGGTGACCGTGAGGCCAGCATTTTCATGGGCCCTGTGGGTCTCTCTTGCAAACAGTATCAGCTTACAGCTTTTCTTTTCTTAACAGATGCATGTGAAGAATGGTGATATCGATCGGTGGAGAAAGGTTAGAATTTATGTGCTGCTGCTGTGAATGTCTGTATTTTCATGATGCATGTTTTTGTATCGTTGCAAACTGAATTCCTTTGGATTTTGACTGTTTGGACTGTTTGGAATGGACAAATCGCAATTTAAAGATGTCACCTTTGACTGATGGATATTAACCAAGTAACTGAATAATCCATAGATTAATTGATGGCGAAAATATTCATTAGTTAGTCTATTTTCTTGTCCTTAGCGCGTGGAGGTGGCCTCCGAGTTTGCTGTATCTGAAGTCTTCTCCCACAAGAAACCTCGTTCAGGAACCAACAGCCTAGGTGTACCATTGCAAAGCTCTGACCAGTTAAGAGATCACGATGACGCTTACAGTGAAGGTAGGTCAGCCCATAGAGCATCTCTAGAGAGGTGTTACCTATATATAATAGAGTTGAGCCTGTGCTGCAGCTGCAGGCTGAACAATGATATTTGTGCTTGCTTGCAGCTCAGGCTCTTCTTGGTGATTGGCTGAGCAGTAAGCTGCGGCTGGAGCTGGAGGTGGATGAGGAAGATGACCTGATGTGCTGCGATGAGAGGAGAAGCCCCGCTGCACTGGCTAGTGCTCAGCCTGCTGCCCTTAACTACAGCAACTTTGATGGTACATAGCGCGGACAAAACCTTTATGTAACTAACTTGAGCTTCCTTAATTAAAATCATCATGAGCGGTTCAAATTTCCTAGATATATGGGAATGTTGGGGTTTACATTTGACATTACAAATCAAAAAAATAATGAGACTAATGAATTAAAGCTATTTGTGGTTGAATACTTCAAAGGTTAGTGCTGATCACATTTAAAGGAGTAGTACAAAGGAAGATTTAGTCATCATGTAGCCCTGACTCCGTACTGCACGACTACCAGCAGAAAGGAAATTAGACCCAATTGGTCAGTCTCATCCTTCTTCCAACTCATCATATTGAGGAGACAATCTTTTAATCACAATTTCTGTGGTGAACTATGCTCAAGATTAAATGAACATTTAATGCACAGTCTGTTGTTTTTACATTTATGAATATATATAAATATATATATATATATATTTATATAATCTACTTGCAAAGATGCTAAACTTGCTTGAGATTAGAAATGAGTATTTTATGAACTTATGTTTTGTTAAAGTTAAGTTATTATAGTGTAGTTGTGTCTTCTTTTGTTTTTTGGTGCATTCACAGTCTAAAATTCAACACTTTAGATTTGAATGCTCGACTGCAATATTTTGAAACCAAGAGGCTATCAAATTTCTTTGAAAGTCTTTTGGTATGTTGGGTTTCATATTCCTACAACATAACCAGGAATGCAATGGTTTTAAACAAGTGACTTCAAAATAATTCATATTTTTAACCGCACTACAATAGAGTTGAACATTAACAAAAACGTAATATATAATATCCATGGTTAACTAAATGCTTTCTGTAATAGATTCTCAAGCAAATGTTAAATCTCAGTACATTGATTTTCATGTCATGGTGAAACCAGTAGCTGATGAAGGGCAGCAAATCAATTAAAAAACATATTGTATGCTTTGTAAAACGGTCAGCAGTAATTAATAGCACTAATGTTAATGGCATAAACATGACTAGTGATTTTCCTTTTAGAAACTCCTCAGTTGTGATATAATATTTATTTTTCACACTCACTGGTGCAAAGATCTGTACAACTGCCTGGCCGAGGAGGAAGAGCAAAGTGCTGTTAATAGCTTCCTACAAAACCTGATGGAGCAAGAGGTGTTGGACTCTGGGGTGATGGAGGAACTGGCTCTGGATGTTGGACAAACAAGGAAGAAGTTCAGAAATCCAATTGTCACCATGGAAGCACGACACCTGCAGGTATGTCAACAAAGTGAAACTCAATTTCCTAAAGATAAAGAGATGTGAATGCTGCGGGGTGGGAAATTGTCACCGTGAAAGTTGAATCAGCCGGAATGACGGACAACCCAAGTTGCATTCTCATTTACACTAATTGCTACCGTTTGCCACTGAAGGTGCGAGAGAACAGAGCCCGGCGGGAGGCTGAGAGGCAGAGGCAACAGGGAGAGAGGGAGGCTCGGTGGGATGCCAGAGAGGAGGCAAAGAGGAGGGAGCGAGACGAGGACACGAGAAAGAGGCAGCAGGCACGTAGACAGGATGAGATGATGCAGCAGGAGATGGTGACACTGCGACGCCAGATGGAGGAGAGGAGAGGGCTGGAACAGCTGGTTCGACAGAGGTATGCTGTTCACAGCAACCACTGGCCTGTGCTGATGGCTTATCACCTATAAATAGGGGTGGGGGGGTCTCAAGCCCTTGGATCAAGAGAAGTAAGCCTCTGACCCAAACCAGTATTGTGGAAGTTTCCCTGTGGAGGGTAAGCTCTTGGCCAGCACAATGAGACTGCTGTGCAATCGCTCACCAGCCAAGGTGTTCTTTATCACAACTGTAACTAGGTCCTCGGGTAGCTTTCATCATGAACATCCTTTGTTAAAAGCAATCAATGGCTGGCACCACGCTGGAATGAAAAATGGATTTATACTGTAAAATCAACTTTAGAGGGCATGAAAACTGAACCTAGAGAAAAAATAAACAATTAGGTAAATTCCAGTTGTACAATTATGGAAAAACTTGTGATTGGTTTATAGCATGTGTTTTTATACAAACTAAAATATTTGTAACTTGTAAATTGGTCTCGTGGTTACCTTTTTCTTATCTTGGAACTTTTTTGGTTGACTGGTAGACTAACGAGTATACCTTTGGTTATTCCACAGGGAAAGAGAGAGAGTGGAAGGGCAAAGGGCAGCCAGAAGCCTCCAGTCAGCTCCTCTGCCTCTCACAAACCAGCAGCCGAAGGATAGAGAGCGACTTTATAAAGAACAGAAACTTCAAACCATGGTTGACATGGTAAATCTCAAGGTCGGTTGTCCTGTGAGTGTACTTGCGGGTTGGTACAGCAAATGTATCAATGTCAATTTATCTAACTCGTGGATGTGCATGTTTGCATGCATTTATTCACATGTTTTAGTGTCTGCAGAGGCATTTCTCTGGATGGTATTCAGTTGTGTTGGACCGAAGGCTACGTTTAGGGAAGGCCATGGCCCTCTGTGACTGGAAGCGGCAGCTGAGAGCCTGGCGTGCGTGGCGGGCAGTGGTGTGGGCAGAACAGCAGCAGCGAGAGGTGGTGAGAACGGAAGAGGATCTACGAGCTGAACACAGGCAAGAAACTCTGTGGTAATTAATAACGTTAGTTACAACCTATATAAAAAATGAGACTGTTAATTATGACAGTATACCTAGAAGACAGTCTCTTGACTAAGCAATAATTGACGGTTAAAAATAAAACATTTGTTCCCTCCTCCAGACACTGCCAGCTGGCTGTGGAGAGTGACCGAAGGCGGTTATTACGGCGATGTCTGAATGAGTGGCAGTTATGGTGTCGCTTAGAGAAGGAACAACGAGAGCTTTTGGACAAGCAGCAGGAGACCCGTCGCAAGATGGCTGCCTTAATCAACGCCGCATCAACAGGCAAACTCATGTCCACAGAAACACCAAATTTTCAGGCAATTATGGCCCCACCTGAGGCTTCTAACCCACCAGAGACCCCAGAGAAGGTGAGAAGTGCACTCCCAAATCCTCATTTCAAAAATAATAATATTAATAATAAGAAATAGTATCTTCTCTTTGCATGGCCTGAACCTCTCTTAGTCAACTAGGGAGAAAAACTTAGTATGAAATATTCACAACTCTGGAGAGAGCGAGAGCAGGAAAGAAGGTGGGTGTGAAGCTGTGAATATAGAGGATGGGAAGGCATAGAGCAGATGGAAAGAATACTATAGGGAAGTAAAAGGTGTAGGATAGTAGAACAGAGCTCGAGGGACAAAGACAGAGAACAGGAGATGAAGTTCATGGTGGATGGGTCAATAAAGAGGTCATCCTCACCATCAAGCCTTTGCTGCTTATATATCAGGAGCTCAGTCAAGATTGCATTGCACTGGGACACTGTATCTATGTTATTCCCCTTCAGTTTTTAGATGGTTTTCTTGTCATATATGATATCATCTTTGCGTCTGCTCTATTTCCTTCTCTGTAGGAGGATCACCAGAGGTCAGGCACTGTAGCCCCCAAAGCATCTGCAGCACCTCAGAAAAAGCCCCCTGTGGGTGCTGTGGCCCGGCCCACTCAGCCATGGCAGGTGAGCAGACGCCATGCAGCACCGACTGCTGCTGAGCTCCATGGGGCACGGCAGAGAGGTGAGGGCGGCAGCTCTACCGGTTCAAAAAGCGCAGTGTTGCCGGGCAGCAGGTTTGAGAACAGACACGCCGTCCAGCAGCAGATCATCACACAGCAGAAGAAGCTGTTGAAGGAGCAGCAAGAGCAGATTGCACATCTGAAGAAGGAGCAGAGTGTGATGGGTTTGGAGCTGGAAATTGAAAAAACCACACAGCTCACCCAGCTATCAATGCTAAGAGGACCAAGACCAAAGAGCCACAACTTTGACCGCACAGAGCAGAGGTAGGCTCACTGCAAAATGTATAGATGGCACAAAAACTCTAGCTGTGTGTGCATCAGATTCACCCATATTCACGCTGTAACTGATTTCAGGTGATTATACACTAAAGAAAACATACTTATTAATATTATTCTCCATTTCTGCCAATGTACATGTGTCCTGTGGCACCTTTCTAGAAGGTCCGATTTCCTACTGTAGAAGGATAGATTGTTTACAACCTGGCAATGTTGTCCTCACCGGCTTTGTAACGGATTTAAAATCATTCATTACAGGCTCAGATAGTAAAGATTGTATAATTTTTACAGAAATAATACCCTTTTAACCTAATATCTCAAATGTCTAGAATAGTGAAGACACTCACTGTTTTCAGGAGCTACACCGAGGTGAATTGGGGTAGAAGTTATTATCCTTTAATAGCTTTTCTTATTAAATACAATTCTCATAGGGGTAGATTCAAAGAAACAGCTGCAGAGGGATTTTAAAGCTTAAAGAGAGCAGAGGAGCGGGGGTTGTGCCAAAGTCAGTAGTTGTGCAAAAGTTAATATTTTGTACATTAACGGTTCTTTTATTTAAGTAGTATTTGATTGCAGACAATTTCCAAGAAGTCTATGAAACCTTGAACATAGTTTTCAAGGATAAAAGCAAAAAGGTCTGCCCTTCAACTCGGACTTACATTCATTTAAAGATGTATGGACAGTCCGGCGCATGCCGGTTGAGTTTGCCTCAAGTCTATACCCGTCTGAATTTAATTTGCCCGGCAAGGATCAGTAAGATGTGAATGTGGCGATAGAGATATGGGCCTTTGTTTCGGTGCTCATGGCTGTGTTTGGTACTGTTGCAGGGCATCAGGAGTTCATGGGGAACCTGACAGTCTCTGTGCACCGCCAAGCAAAGCTGTCACACAGCAGACACTCCCCCATCCAATCATCACGGGTCAGTCTGCAAGGTCCTTCGCTCAGCAGAGGATGACATGCTCAAACTCACACATACATATACATACATACATAGCAGGCACATATGTTCCTCCAAACATAGAATGCTGCAGCTCTTTTGTCAAGAACATTGCATGACCCTGATTCACGCCTATGGAGACATAACATTTGCTTGTATAAAAGTCTATAGTCCCACAACAACACCACTCATGTTTTCCTACCAGTTACGTGTTCAGAATATGAAGGGCGAATCATACATAATCATCCACATATCCACTCCTGAGTCTCGGTGTCGTACCATAGAGGAATACCTTGTGCTCAACTCACCCCTCTTCATCTCTTTGAAGCCATGGAGGTCCGTGCACGTCAACGTGCTGAACGAAGGAAGGAAATCGAGGAACTCAAGAGAAAGAAGGACGAGGAAAAACTGGTGAGAGATTGACGAGTCCCAATTTCTGGACCCACAAACTGTTTTGTCGGATGAGTTACAAGTTTTAATTGTCTGAAACAACATTAAAAAACACAAATTTAATTGGAACTTTTCAGGCTGAGATGAAAGCTGCGGAGGAGCAGAGGCAGAGGGAGGAGGAGGAGGAGAAACACAAAGCAGCGGAAAAGAAGAGGGAGGAGAAAAGGCAGGAAAGAGAGGTGAGATTCATATTTCCTGGCTGTTCTCAATAACATTAATTAAAAATACAGGAAGCAGTAACGCTGACCGACATGTAGCAGGACTGTACCCCAGTGACCACTATAACGTATTCAAATAATGTCACTTCTTTCTGTCTGTGCAGAACGAAGAGGAGAAGCAGAGGCAAATGAAAAGGCAACAGGAGCTCCTGAAGCTGGCCCGTCAACACTACCACAGAAACCTGCTGCTACGGCGAGGCCTGGCTCCATGGAAACGTCTCATTCAGATCAGACAAGCCAACTTACAGGTGAATCACTCGTCTTGTCCTTTCAGCTTTCAGCTACAGCAACATACAGAGTATTGTCAGTCAAATTCAGCCTACCCGCAGTCCTCCAACTCAACAATTTGAGAAAGAAACTTTTGATTCTGGCCTTTTTTTTTACCAGGAAGCTGTGCAAGGAGTGCTTCAGGCTTTTCATTACCACACATGCTCCTTCAAACGAATTACAATAAGCAAGAGGACATTTAGACTTACAAGGGTAAATCCAAGTCCAGGTACACACTGTGGATCTGAATAATAAAAAAACGACCTGGTTATAGACTGGCTTGCATACAGTACTGCATACGTCAGCTATATTTTTCGTTGAAAGGAAATGCGTGTCCTTGAAATGCTTTCTTATAATTTAAGTCTCTACTTGTGGCTCACGGACCATTGGTGGACACAATACTTCCCAATTGTCTTACACTAAAAAGCTTTACTTTTTTTTCTATACGACAAAGATTATATGGACTAATCTCATTCAAAGAGGATTATATGTGCTTTTTATGTCCCGTCAGTCGCCTCAACTGAAGCTCACAGCTTTTCCTTAACCAATGGTATAAAAACATTCTAAAGAAATGCCCTACTGAGGAGAATGTCTGGCTCTCATCTTTTTCTTGACTGATTCATGCATTCATTTATTTTTTATTCTGCATTTATTATTCCTGTTGCTGGGATGTTTTTTTTGTTCCATTTGCCTGCCTGATTACAAATTACTATATAAAAGTTAGTCATTATTATTATTATTTTATAAAAGTACCACCAACCACATGCTGCGCATCCACAGGCAACGCACTTTAACACATTAAATAGACTAAGCAATATGAAACCCACTGTGATAAAAGGGTTCACTCCGCAGCTAAATCGAACACCCAAAGGCAACGCTCCACGTAAACCCACCACCCAGGAACACACTTACACTCCTCTGGACCTGCACACGTACAGAACAGACGTGCACACTCATGTGCTAAAGCATGTAATTATTTCATCTTCAAAATGTTCCTCTCCAATGAATGCAGAAAAAACTAACTTGTGTGCATATACATGTATCGGAGGCCGGCCCTTTATCATTTGATAGCGCTCCATTGTTTCAACCTGGCACGTATGATTGAGTTTGGATGCACTCATCAGCGTGCATCAACACTTTTCTTTTCAATCCCCGCCAGCTGGCGGAGAGTCATCACAATCTCTTCCTCCTGAGGCGGTGCACACTAGGCTGGCGGCAATCAGCACGAGAGTCCCAGGCTGAGAAAGAAGCTTCGGTTGACCAACTGTACCGGCACTTTTTGCTTCGGAGGAGCTTAAGCCGCTGGAAAAGAGTGTGTATACACCCGCTCACACACAAGTTCAATACTCAATCAGGACTGCGGTCTCCCCATCTTCTGCCAGTGACTTAGAGAAACACCTTTTCCTAATCGTCTCTTGCAGCTGCACTCAATCATGTTTTCAAAAAGACTATTTTCCTCTTTTTGTGATTAACCCAGTGCTGTCCTCATCACTCAAACTAACCTGCAGTTGTTCCGTTGTGGACTTCACTGCTATGAATGCAGTAGAATCCACCCGTCTCTGAGGATGTGTTGTATGTTTCAGCTTAATGACTGGCGGATGATTCAGGAGGAGAGAGCCGAGCGTTTCTATCGCACTCGCACTCTGAGGAGGTTTCTGCTGGCACTGCTGGACCATGTGACCCAGGAGAGGCTTGTGGAGCGGGACCGTCAGAAGCTGGCTCAGGAGCACAATAACAGGTCTGCTGCCCACGACCATCCCATATGTTCACTGTGTGGATGCAGCGTGCCAGTACGGTGTCAAATTAAATTTAACAGCTTGTTTAATTACAAGTTGAAATGTAATATCAGCGCAGTTTGGTCACAGTACGAAAGAAAAACAAAATGCCTTGAATTTGTATCAAACTAAACATCATTTTGAACTGTTTAGACATTTTAAGGCTTATTCTATTTTGGAAGTTCACTGAATGAGTGGAAACTTTAATTTACATTTAAATGCTTTTGCTTCACACTATACATTTAAATCAGCAAAAACATTTGGGTTTTGATTAAGCTCTTAGTAACAGCATTATTATTCTGTTTTCCATTGTGGACATAATGAATGCTTTCTGTAGCACTGCTCTAACTTAATGATTTCACCGTCATTGACGCAGAATGTGAGTGGTTTTAAACTTCTCAGGTGAGGTCAGCTACATGACCACAGCCTGCAGGTGAATTCCCACCGGCTGCCCAGCTGCCACTGTCAATAAACCCCCAGTGACTTTATGTGAAAACTCATTAGGATTTGTCAACCCAGAGGTCCCTATAATTCAGTTTCTTATTGCTCACTTGCTCTGTTCCCGTCTGTCCCTCCATCTGCCTGCACTTCAGACGGGTGCTGCGGCGATGTTTGCTGGCCTGGAGGCAGCTTCCCTGTCTGCTGCGCAAGGAACGAGTGAGGGAGGAGCGGCGGGAGAAGCTGGGAAGGAGAGTGACCGAGGTTCTGCCGGATTTCTGCTCCCATCCACTGTAAAGCCTCTGGGAGAAACGCCACGCTCATACAAACATCTCAAACACTCTCGGGGACACGCATACAAACACATAATGAATACACATGCGCATACCTCATTAATTTATTAAAAATAAATTACAATTTTATTCAAACAACTGGACCGATACAACTTTCAATCCCTTTGAAATCGCTTTAATAAAAGCGATAGTGGAAAACACTGGAAAACTTCTCAAGGTGACATTAATGTGTACTGGTTTATTTGCTTTTAATTAATCCAGCAATCCGTTTGAACCAGCGAAAAGACAATAAAAGTAACTACTAATATATTCATGGCTATCCGATCATTACGCGAAATGCAACCACAAACTGTAGAACTTTAATTGCCCGATTATGTGGCTTGTGCTGAGATGTTTCATTCATAGGTGATACATAATCCATGACGCTCACAAAGTCAAGTTAGGTGCCCTCCTTTGTGAACACTGTAGGTAAGTGTTTGTGGAGGACAAAGTGTGCTGAGAGACCCTCTTTGAAAAGGTGTTCAGCCCATGCTTTGTGCGTCACTGAGGCGTCATGTTGTCGCTGGCCAGAGCAATTATTCACTCTCACATTTTTCTTGTTTGCTGACTCCCAGCAAGGCACTAGAATGTAGAGGAGACATAAAGACAATGTTCAAAAGAGAAGGCAGTCAGTGTGAAGGATACGGTGATATTTGTTCGGCAGAGACACTAGTGACACGTGGAAAGAGATTCAAGGTCAGTGTGAGTGGGTACAGCTGCATAGAGGAGATGTCGTGGGTGACATTATTGGAAGTGAATGTGTCTTATTGTAGTTTTTATTGCTATGTGTCCAAAAATCAATAACTGTAACCCAGCGATAAAAGTCATTTGCGGCAAGCAGAGGAGGCAATTGGAGTGAAAAGAGCCCTGCTGCCATCCAGAGGACATGAACAAGTACAGCAACCATAAGCTCCAAACTCGTGTTTTAAAATCAGGGTTGGGGAATCGGTCTCTTACACGAGGTCTGCTGGGACGGGAGAGGGCGGATTCAGTTTTCCTCCCATGGTCATGAACTCTGCCCAGTTGCAACGGAAACCTCGAGAGTAGACGCCAGTGTCCACGACGAGCCCCCAGTAGGAGCTGCGAGCGGTTTTGTCTCTCAGGGCCATGCGTGCCTCGCGCTCGGTTACGTTGTAGCTGACGTTGATGACCTGCACCATCAGCAGGTGGAGCAGCCCACAGGTCACAATACTGCTGTACCAGGCACAGGTGAAGCAAAGCGCAGCGCTGAAACACAGACAGTGAGAAAAGTTCGTAAATGGAAAATACTCTTGTCAGCAGTCTAATTGTTTGAGTATTACAAACGTACTGTAATTTGTTGATTAACTTTTACTGGTATCGATGACCCTACAGAGAAATACATTTTTCTTCTTTACCTTTCGCTTGATCTGGTTTGTATGTCATGGTTGAATGTTTAGCCGATTTAGACAATTTGGATGCAACTCAAGATTTCAGAATGAGAAAAAGCAAGACCCACAATAACAGATCAAGTGAAGGGTAAAGTTTTACTTCTCTGTAGGGTCCTTTTCATAATGTTGACAGACACTACGATCTGAGCCTGTCAGTTGCAAAAACAAGTATTTCTGGCAGGCTGCAATGCCTCAAGCCTTTACATTGCAGCCTGCAGCGTTTTCCCTCAATACTGGACCAATTTTAAAAAATGTGTCCCCATTATCATTCATATCTTATCATATCATCATCATTTAGACACAAAAGCATTGGACAATCAGGTTCAGGTTTAAAAACAAGTTACCCTTTATGACCCGATATACATTTGAATAACTTAATATTTTTCTCATCTTTAAATTTGAAAGCATCTTATTTTCTGAGAACAATAACAATGAATGGGGTCAAAGAAACACATTGACACACCAATTTGTCTATTTTTGGGAGAAAAACCTATTTCATCAGAATAAGGGGGCTTTCAGATTCAGGAAAATAGTAAGGTTAAGGTACTATAATGTTAAAGTTATCCAGCCCAGAGTGTACCAATTGTGTGTCTAGGTGCTCAGTACCTGTACTGGTCGTAGACCCCCGGGCAGTAGAGCAGGGCGGTGAAGAGGAGTTGGTCAGGACACACACTCTGCAGCACCAGGCTGATCCCATACAGAGACGTCAACAGGAAGAAGACGAGCGTAAGCAGGAAGCTGCGGTGATTGGTCTGCCCCACACAGCCGTTTATCCTACCCGAGCACCGACGGAGGGGGACGCACAGACACACAAGTACACACAAAACATCGTACTGAGACCCCAGGGTTACACGACACTACACACATGCAGGACCACACAAACTGTTCACTTGCAGCTGTGAATAATAGGAGTGTGTGATGCTGGCTCGACGCAACATACAAATGGTTAAAAAAGACACAGCAGGTGTAAACGGGACAAACACCGAGTCTGAGCTGATTACCTAACCTGGGAAAGAAAGACAGTCACTTAAGGTCATTGTTTTGACAATTAAAAAGGAATTTTTTAGATTTATTGAATAGTTTGTGTAGAAAAGACGAGAAGATGACGAACAACTTCGGTGTTAGAGATGTGAGACAAAGTGGAAGGAACAGTGATGACAGGCCGAGTGAGAGGCATTTTTATTGGCACCCACCAGACGCAGTGGTGGTCGAGACGCAGCACGCAGACGCCACAGATCCGACAATGTCCCGCCCTCGGGGGCCGCACCACCCTGCACACCGGACACCAGTTCCTTTGGCCGCCTTCCTGCAGCTCCGCCCCCGCATGCTCCGACGATCCCGCCCGGTTGGCCACGGTCATGGTCACATCCTGCCTCCCCCAGTTGACGGCAGGGTCTCTGTCTGCCAGAGGGCTGTAATACGTCACCGTGCTGTGGACGGACTCTTGGTTTGGCCGCACAACGCCAGGTTCTCTCTTGGTGTGGACAAGGGCCACCAGGGTGAGTGTGACCCCGACAGTTACCACCGCCAGCTGGACCAGACCAATATCCCCATTGGGAAGCACCTCAGTGATGAACAAGTAGTACATGTACGCCAGGGAGAAGAGGGCCAGGCTGAGGAAGAACAGTGTTTGTCCCTTCTTGCGGTGGGTGAAATAGTAGTACCACAGCACCAGGCCAGGCAGAGCTGTCAGAACCACCATGCCGAGCAGGAAGTGGAGAGCAGCGACGTGCAGAAGGACCGGCAGCAGAATGAGAGGAGGGATGATGGACAGTTCCACTTTTCGGGCTCCACCCCACAGCCAGGGCACACGAATCCGGTCTGTGAAAACTGCAGTCACATGTGACAGGGATTCCGGTTTCTGAGGCTCCCTCTTCATAAACCTGAAAGAGTAACAACAAGTAGAATATTTTTTACTTCTGGAAGTAATATATTGGAAAGGTGAGATTTATGTCTGATCAGAAGTGTTTTATGTTAGTTTTGGTTTTCCACTTCCAATGAAAAGCAGAGCACTCCTCAAGAGAGTCTGTCAGACGGTCTGTAGGGAATACTACCATATCAGAAGAGTGCAGAGCATAATCCACAGCAGACAGGCAGATATTTTCTTCAAATATCATGACTTTATTCTCAACTATTCAATGAACACAGATATGTGGAATATGATTTGAATGTGCAGAACGTTTTACAAATCAGCAGAAATTGTTATTAAATAAATACATTTAAAAAAAAGTTGTGTGTACTCGTGTACTGTGAATAAATACTTCACTAATAATAATAATAATAATAATAATAATACTAATTCATGAGTTAATCAAGGTAATTCATCAAACAAGAAGCTATGCCAGGGGCTTAACATCGGCATACTAACATACACACAATGACAACACAGCTAACCATGTTAACCATCCTATTTTGGCATGTTTGCCTGCTAATGTCAAGTTGATCCCCAGACTTATTATAATTCATCCTGCGGGAACATCAATGTCTGCACATAAAACTTTGATCGGTTGTTGATGCTGGAGGAAAAGTCTGAGAATCCCCACAGCAGGTTGAATTCATCCTCTGGGGACCATGAATGTACACAATTCATTTAGCTGAACACCAAAACCACTTTAAGGTGATTTTTCTCAGTCCTACACTGACTTGAGTTTACCGCTCACCTGTCACAGGCATCATCCAGGTCCTCACAGTCACAGCAGCAGGCTCCCACATGGCTGCGCTCTCCGAGTCTGTTCACGTACTCGCAGCAGCACAACCTCTCCTCCTCCAGCACCTTGTTGGCTCGCTTCTTCATGATGGACAGCCTTACAGCCTATTCGATTATAATAAAAAAAGGTGTATTAGAACCATTAACATTTATGTTACGGATAAAACGATATTCAGAAAAGTGGCAGAGAAGAGACAGGAAGGGAAAGACAAGAACTGTAAATACAGTAAAATCCCATTTTGCTGGAAAGCCCTCTGCACACAGCAGCTTAACAGCTATTTGTATGCATTTTAGATGTTGGAGTGGTTCCATACAGATTTCGACCATGCGACACTGCAAAGCAGACCCTGCTCATTTGACCCTACCCAGTCCACCTCCTACCCTCACATCTGTGCCACATCTGTCGGGCTTTAATGACTTGCAGGAACTGAACGGTCCCACCACTGCAGCAGCCTGCTGATTTATAGAGACAGCACAGATGGATTTGGGCTGAGGTGAGGCAGTGGAAGCATTTATAACAATCACAAAGTCTTCAGTGCCCCCTCCATCACAGAGAGCAAGACTAGTGAACCAGTAAATGGGATTAATCCCTCAGCTCAGTTAAACCTCTCACTGGGGGGGACCTGACTCTGTTGAATGAGCCTCCGATTAGCAATAAATCAAAGCGTGACATGGTGTTCTATCAATATTCAGCAGTTTAATGTCCGGTTGTAATACGGTTTGCAATAGCTGCAGAACATCAAAAGGCTTTGAAAATATAATGCAGGATGGCTGTTTGTAAATAAGGTCTTTGTAGGTGGGAGTAAGGATGGGGGCGCAGGTCAGATAGTTGATTAATCAATCAGTCAGTCGGAAGAGAGACAATAAATCTGCAACTATTTTGATTGCTACTTCCAATTTATAAATTGTGTTATTTTAGTGGGACTATTTCTTAGCAGGGCAAAGGAAGTCACTGCACCCGGTCAAGAAATAGTCCCACTTCTTCCTCCTGTATCTGCAGAGTGGTATCAATGTTCTCATCCAACTTTGCAAGAAAGAGAATTTCTTAAAATATTTAAAATCATATTTTTAGTGAAAATTACGCAAATAACACGAGTAATTTTCTTCTATCAACATGACTGCTCTAATTACAGCCTCTGCAACTTGTGTCTTGATTAAAAGTGACATTCATTTACAAACACTCAAAACGTTCTTGAACATCATGAAGGGGTCGAGCTGACGGATGCATGTTAGCCATTGTATGTGCAGATTACAGGTCACCCATGTACTTCGTTTTTCTTACACTAAACATTTTCGGGAGTTTAACGCTTATTCAACGTCTCATGACAGCTCGGTTAATCGACCACCACCGGTCACAGTTGACCCAGATTTCCTCTCGTCATACACGTCCACCAGCACCGTATAAAGACAGATCCAAACCGCGGTCTCATTCAAGGTTTAAATGTGGACCCAAAGACGCACAACATACGCTGGAAACACAGCCGTAACGTACCTGAACACAGAGCTACTACATGCCGAAGCTTTCGAGTCGCGTTAAATATCGACTCAGGCTGTTTCCTCCTGGCACCGGATGACGTAACCGGTGTCTCTCGGAGCTACATGAAGCCCGGTGTGCTGCGGAAGTCTGCAGAATAACAGCAGATAAACCAGTCCGGGTTCAAGTGTCCGGGGTCGACAGGGATCTTGTCCGGGTTAGGGATCGCTGCTGAGAGACGTCCTGTGGCTCTGCCCCCAAAACAGTTTCCCTCCTGACGTCACACGAGCACTAAGGTCCCCGCCCATGGCCCGGTTATAGTCCCGGTTATAGTCCCGGTTATACTCCCACACCTACAGCCACCATCGTCTGAGATCATTTTAACCAACTACAGTTCAGAGTCTAACCATGCAAAAAAACTAAATGTCATAAAGTTAAGTTAATTCTGGGTATAGGTGGGTCCTAGTATTTTCTTAAACACAAAAAAATGTGCAGTAAGAGTATATATATTTGAAACTATATCCTTTTAATTCTCATGTTCTCATCTCATGTTTTGAGATAAGGGATTACGACTCAGACTAAAATGACTTGATAAGACCGAGATTTATGCAGGAAACAAATGCATCACAATTTAAAAGGTGCTGTGTTTTGTATGAATAAGCTAAATGTATAAAGTAATTAGCTGTAAACGTAGTGGAGTAAAGAATACAATATTCTCCTCTGAAATATAGAGAATAGGCTATACAATATAATCGCCTTGAGTAAATGTAGTTACTTTGCACCAGTAGCTATTGCATTAACTTTTATTAAAGTCCATACATACAGTATACAACAGTAGATTTTCAATATAAACTAATTGCCACCATCAGATATAAGGACAGCCTACAGAGGCAATATGTAATTTCCTCTAGGAGTACACAAGGACATGCTAGTGGTCAATAATTAAAGACAGTCTCAATAGTCTTGTATTACACCTGTGACAAAAGGGACAAAGACACATTTGGTTTTACTCCAATTTAGTTTTCCGCTTCTGTTCCCAGCATCATACAACTAAACAAAAACAAAAAAATCAGTCCTTTTGGCTTAAAACAATAAATTCTAGTACTTAGTCTCGTCAGACTCGTGGTTATTTCCCTTTGTTCTGAGGCACAAGAACAATTTTAAGAATAATTAACAGATAATTCCCAAAGACTATTTAATAGGCAATATCTAATCATGAGCTTGTTTTTAGCCTGCAAGCTTCTCTCTGTGGTCCGATAATTGATTCATCATTTCAGTAACTTCTAAAGTGAAATGATTAAAATGATCGGCTCCTAAAATATTTATATTTGCTGTTTTTTTTGTCTCCTATGATAGTAAACTACATCTTTGTTGGTTGGTCGAACAAAACAAGGCGCTAAAGATGTTTAGCTGCTTAGATGGACATTTTATAGACGAATATAATATTGAGATATTTTTATATCAAGAAAGTATGCAAAACATTTGCAGCTCTAATATGTTGTACCTTCAAAATGTTGGAACTACTCATGATTCTGGCAATACATTTTGTTTATTAATTGCAATATGGCTGAAAATGTACAAAAAAAAAGCAACTAATTTTAAACAAGTGGTTGCTCGCAGAGTCTGTTTTAAGTAAAAACATGAAAAAAGAAAAGGGTGACATCACTGTAAACATCAAACAAGGCAATTGTAGGGGCATGTCACCAACAATTGATTTAAAAACAATACAATAGTGTTCATGTCAATTTGGAAATCACAGAGCAAACTTGCATCTAGTGTTGACAGTGTAAGAGCGAAGTGATGAGGTAACCTGAGATAATCCCACTGCCCACACACCTGGTTTAATCTAAAATTAAACCAATATATTATACTTGGTTCACAGTGTAGAACAAGAAAGGGAAAAAAGAAAGTTCATAAAAACTGTGATTACACATGTACAACCGAATGAGGAAAATCAAATATGTATATGTGGTGCGAAACAAAAACAAAAAAAAAACCCACCGTCAGCAGTACCTTCTGTTCACCAGATTTGGCTCATATACAGTATTATAAAAACACATCTACGAGGTACTTGTGCAAAAATTAAAATGTGCAAAAAAGTACATAAAGAAAATAGTTTTAAATAATATTGATTCACATCTCCAGAATAAAACAAAAATAAAAGCTTTTTTCTAATAGTTCATTTGGTGTGGCACGATCATCAGCACATAGCAAGGTGTTTTGCCATGCCACTATTTAAGGAAAGAGTAAAAAAGACGCCAGCCGAGGGAGCTGAAAATAGCACCCTACAGAAACCCTAACCCTACTGCTCCATGTACCACTGATGCAACGTTGTCCTCGCAGCAGTCAGTCCACAGCTTTGAAAACATCCTGGCACCTGACGCCGCGCCACAGGCTTTGGGACCGGTAACCTCTGGCAACAAAAGACACGTCAGTGGTCTGGGGATGCCTACATGGCAACGTCACTGGATACCAGAGACTTCCTCAGAGGCAGTTCACTACTGCAGTCCTTTTTATTTATTTTTTCCCCCTCCACAGGGTCGTGGACAAGCATTCTGCAGTCTCCAGGTGAAGAGCATCACTGTGGTGCCGCTGCTGTGCGATTGGCCAAAGCAAAGGTTTGCTGGAGCATCACCAGAGAGCTGCGGAGCTGTGAGGAGAAGAGGAACAACTGACTCAGCAGCTTTATATCCTGCTTTAGGTTTTTTTTTTTTTAAAAAGGCGTTAAAAGACAGCTATGAATTTATGAGATGGACTCCTGCTGGTTGTAAAATAGAAAATGACAGCTGCATGCCTCTGCTTTCTGCCTACGAGATAAAAGAGTCAAAAGACTATAATGAACTGCCCTATTTTGCACAAAGCAGAGCAGAATATCCATAATCATGTCCACATCGGAGCGACAGTTGCTTTTACTTATGCATTACATTCCCAGCTTGTCCTACCTGTTGTAAAAGGTTGATGGAGTCCTGCAGTACATTTTTTAGCAGCTGCACATCCTCTCTGGTCCGATACTCTGGTTCCTGTTTGGGCCCATATTCAGCGGCCAAGCTGCCAAACAACAGAAAGTAAAAGTGATTATTCTTATGTGCAAAAGAGGATATTCCCATTTGCTAGATAAAAGGCAGCAGAAGATAAAAACAGAGGCAGTAACAACGTGATGGACATGTAAGAAGAGGGCAAAGAGTGGAGGAGCACAGAGGCGAGACAGTGTCATTTACATAACCACAGTTACTGAGGCTGATAGACAGTTTCAACATTGTGACTCATTAGAGCAAGAGCTCTCTTGTATGCGGGCTGCTCAAAAACAAAAAAAGTGGCGGGAGACTAACCCCTTTCCCCCCTCCACCCACACCAAGACTTCTGCTGTCTGAGTGAGCATGGCAACTACTGATATACAGTAGTTACTGTCTAATGCGGGGCAACCCAAAGAAAAATGCATTTTGCAAAAGGAACAGAAAGTTATCTGACCTGGCCTCACTCCTGTCCCTCAGCCGATGCTTTGTGCTCAGGTACATGCGTTGGGCTACGTCCTCCATCGCCCACAACTTAAAAAACAGACCCAGATTCATCACCACCAGAATCAGCAAGCTGAAAGAGACAGAAAGCATTAAAGAGTTTAATCTGACCACTTAGACTAGAGAGACAAATGTTTGAAGGAAGCATGCAAACACCAGAAATAACCGCACACAACCTTTAGAATATTGACCATCTTTACAAACCAGGACAGTCCGTCTCTTTGGACAGCACAGAATACACAATACAACCCTCATTGTTGTTTCCAGGTTGTTAACTTACATCAAACTCATGCCAGCCACTATGGTCGTAGTGTTCCATTTGTGCAGGTTGTTCATTTCTATGGGGCCTGAAATGCATATTTTACTTCAGTCAGATTAAGAAAATTTGCTCCAAGTTTTAAAATGTAGACTTATGTAACACTTTTGGCATCACTAACTACTAAAACCGATTTGAACAATTAAGTAAATGGTTGGAATCTCAACCAAGCAGCCTTGTAGGTATAGTTCAACATTTTAGTTAAAAATGTGCGTAGAAAACATTGATGAGATGATCGATACACTCTTATCTTTTCATTAAAAATGAAGCTGGAACAAAGAGTTCAGGAGCTTATCATAAAGACTTGAAGCAGTCTGTTCAAAATCCAAAGGATTAAAAACACATCAATTTATGTCCTTATTTTGCTAAACTATTTCTTGGCGGGACACAGACTTCCTGCCAGCCTCATGGAGACTCCAGAAAGTCAGTATTTTGTGCACATAAACTCCCTGTGAAGCCACAACCTGTCTTTATACAAACAATATATCATTAGCGTTAGTGAGCTCCTGGCTCAAAATTAAAGAGGACAAATATAGGAGTGCTATCGGTCTTCTCAGCAAAACCTATTCCTTTAAAAGGCATTAAATACAGTATGCGTGTCATTTACCCATGTTGCCCTCTCTGTGCTGTTCAGGGTCTTTTCTGTACTGCTTGTTGGGCTTCATGTGCTCTGGCAGAGTCCGGCTATAAGTGCGCCTCCTCCTCCGAAGCCCACCCGTCTTAACAGAGTCGCCACCTCCTTGATTTATCTCTGCTTCCTCCTCCTGCAGTTCTGCCTCTGTACAGGGTCAAATATAGGGCAGAAGTTAGCGGGGTTAAAGTGGGTGGGTAATGTATTACAGAAACATATTTTTAAAAAAGTGTTGAAATTCTCTTTACAGCCCGACAGCAATCAATAAATCAAATGCTTTGACAAAATTAAAAAAAAAAAAAATTTAAAAAAATTAAAAAAAAAAAGTGCATCTGTGGCTGTTGCAGGACTGAAATAATCTGGAAACATACTAATAAGCAAGTAAAAAACAAAAAAATGTAGATAATTCATGAAGGTTTGCTGCTCAAGCTCAGTGCACTTAAAATGGCAGATGCAGGTCAGATCGACCATTATAGTCCTTTACTCCTTACATGCAAATGCAGCTGTAAAATAATTCACTGCTGACGTGCGTTGGTGGAAACAGTCATATCAGATAAGAGATAAAATAAAACACGAGCTGAGGAAAGTAGACAGGGAAGCTCACTCTTCCGCCTGCTGGCCGGACACGACTTTCTACTTACCCAGCTGTCGGAAATTTTCTTCAATGCCGCTCCAGGAGTTTTTGGTGATGAAAGACTTGACCAGGCCCCACGGCTGCTTCTTGTATTTCACGTCGGTATAAACCCTGGCAGCACAACAGACAAAATAAATGGCAGTGACTTAAGAAACAAAAAAGTCCAAAGTTATGGGATAATCATAAAACCTTACCTTAGTCGACACTTCCGCTTTGAGTTACTTATGATGTAGTACCGATTTTGAATGTAGAAGTAATCGTGATAGGGAACGTCATGAGTGTACACCTCGGAGTCCACCAGGTAATACTGACCATCCCTGTATTCTTTGTACAGCGTCTGAGAGATAATTAGAGTACAAATACATGATCTTTCATCCATTCAGGCGCGCACGGACCACTGACACGGATGTAAACACACCTGGTTCTCCGTAGCGGTGGAGAACTTGCCAATCAGAGGGTTGCTGATGGTTACTGTGTAGTTCAGATTCCTCTTCATGTTTCCTGAGGCGTCTTTTTGCCAAGCAGTAAAGCTGTAGTCTGGTAACACGAAAGGACAATTTGAATATGACGCGGGGACTTTTCTAAGCCAGAACTGGTGAATAAAGTAGTTTCAGGAATGGCTTAAAATAATATTAATCTATTTAGCAGGGATCATACAGATAAACATTGTAACCAACAGATAAGCAATGCAACAGTGAATACAGGGCCCCCCCTCCCCGGTTATGGCTTTAAATTTAGATTCAAAACAGTTTAACACTTACTGGTTGTCTTCCTGATGTTCATGAACCTGCGGGTGAAGCTGGAGTCGCTGAAGAGCAAGTCAAACATCTTGTTGGCGCTGATGTGGAACACCTTGTTCAGATAGAGTCGACCCTGCACCTGGGGCAAACCCACTCGCTCATCCACTGATGAAGCAAAACGTTAAAATATTAAAACCACAACACGTGAGCTCAGGCATCCTCCAGGGCCTCTCCTTACCGTCCTCGATGCTTTCTGAACCGCTCTGCTCGGACACGTCATCGTTCTCGTTGGCGTTGAGGTCGAGAGAGAGCGAGGATGGTTTGGAAGCCCGCTCTGGGGCGAAGCGGTCCAGCGAGGGAGCAGGGCTGCGCCGCTGAGACGGGCTGCCGCGAGGGTCATCCTTCTGGAGGGCGATGCAAACCAGTGAGGTGGGAAAAGATTTTAAAGACATGCACAGACCACGCAATGAAGGACAAAAATGAATACCGTGTTGGGAGAGTTCTGCGAGCCGAGAAGGGAAGGCAAGTCCTCCCCCTGAGGAGTGGAGGTGTCTGAAGGCCCATGCTCCATCCCAGCGAGGCGGAGGGAAGAAGGCTGTTCAAGCCTCCCCGGACCATCGTCACCACTAGGCCTCACCATCAGGCTGTAGACAGACGAGTGGAGTCAAATCACAGCACATTTAGATTGCGTGCGAGGCTGGGCGTGCAGGTGGGAGTGTGTTACCTGGTCTGCATGCTCGATTCTGCTGATAACTGTAAGCTCTCCATCTCCTCATGGCTCAGGCCGAGGTCATTCCCATAATGCTGTTTGACCATCTGCCACAACTCCAAATTGGTCAGAGGCTAAATGTCAGGGGAAAGGGAGGACACAAAGTCATGGAAACATAAACCAAATAGTCTTGTTTGGAGACCAGCTCCTGTAGATACATCTTCCTGTTGCACAATAAGGACTCTGCTTTGGCAGGAATCCATAATATGCTTAACAAACTTAACCGAATGTCGACTCAGAGTTTGTTAAAGGTAACCTGGAAACGTTTAGTCTCCACACAGTATAATTTAGTCCAACTCCATGGGTGACAAGCAAACTATAGCTACACACCTTATTGTCTCTTCTGGCCGTCGGGATATTAATCTTACATGTTTGTGTTGACAACTAAGAAGCTCAATCTCACAAAAACAAGAGGAGCTGTATAGCGACAGCGTGATAAAAAAAAAAAAGTAGTCCGTATTGTTGTAGACCCGTTTAACCCCAAAGGAAATAAACACGGTTGTTTTATTTGCCATATGGGACCACAAACTGTGTTCCAGCGCATCTAAACGGAGATAAAGTTAAATATTCACCAACACGGACTTTACTTACTTGTCAGACGACATGATCCCCGCAGCAGTGAGTTTCAACTGTCAGGCAGCGATCTATAACCTGGGCGCACATTCAGGAAGTCCTGAGTTCAGAGGCGTAAAGACGCGCCGCCCAGATAGTAAAAAGGTAAATAAAAGCTTGCGCTACCGGTCGAAAGTCCGGTTTATCGACGGTTCAGACAAACTCTTTTGTTTTTATGTGATTCCGATAATGGTTTCAGCTCCGACACGAGCGCAGTGTGCGGTTAAAGGCAGCATGTAAATCAGCCCCCGTCGCTACACCTGAGAGGTCAATGAACTCTTGACGGAGATGTTTTCATACAGGTGTTTGTTCTCCAGATCCCAGCAGACCCGCACCCCCTTGGGTAGGCTGCCATAGCGCCTGTCATTGCAACATAGTGTATCCTCTTAAAAACAAATTATTGTAATGCATGCATAATTATAAATATCATCTGCAATCTTTATGTTTACCTTTGTTTTTCCAGGATAGTCCTATTGAGATTTAATATCTCCTAATTCTCCAAATAAGGATGGCTGAGCTGGTTGTTTCATTTTTGACTACATCTGTGACAAACTGGAGGTAAATAGTTCCAGTATAAGAGCATAATATATAACATCAATGCCGCTTTGACTGACTGCCTTAGCCGACTCACTTTTGCTTTCAGCCTCCACACATCAAATGACACTCAACTCATTTTAAAGTTTTAATCTTTAAGATTTCTATGAAATCAAACCCTGTTGATACTTTTTTTGGTTGCAATGACAATTGCCGTGCAATGCATTCGTATCAGTTTCTCTCTAAATCATTAGTTTTCATTGTTAGTGGCAGAGTCTGCCATTTCCAGACTGTAACGCAATTCAACTGCCTGTGGTGCTTAAAATTGCCATTGTATTGTCCTAAGTTTACAGCAATCACTTCAACAGAGGCCTCAAACATATTTAAGTGTTTCAAATTCAACTCATGAGCAAACAACAACTTTTAAAGACATTTAAACTGTTTACAGTGTTTGCGCCTGCAGTTGTCAAACTAGAAAAAAATATGTTATTATATTTCTTTTACTGGACAAAGAGTTAGGCGGACACAAATAAGGTGACTGAGCTGTAGCGCGTTCATATTTACTAGATTCTTGACATACATGGAGGTAAATTATTCCAAACACAGCACCTCAGTATGTGGAACAATTAAGCGTATGTCTGTTGGACTCCTGCGCAAACCCTGCTGTGCTGCAGATCTTTACCCTACATGCAATAGCAGAGTGGCAGTGATAACCTCAAAGGAAGACAGGGCAGTATGATACGCACTCTGGACTGATTAGATAAGTGCTGCAAAATGGGGTAAAGTCACAGTGATCGGTGAGGCATTTAGTCACAGCAGTCCAGTTACTGTACAACAGCAAAGTCTGTGTGTCGAGAGTGTTTGTTATACATGTGACTGAGGTATGAAAGAGGGACTATTGTTGAGCCTGCATGAACAGGGGTTACTCCCACATGGAGAATGATCATTAGACTGATGAGTGTCTGCAGTTAGGAGACTGTATGAGGTAACAGCAGGTAAGTGGGGGAAGAGCATACCTTGTCCAACAGCATGTTTTGCCACATGCGGAAAACACCCTGGTAACTTTTCTCTCTTGCCGTGAAGGATGTGAAGAAGAACTGCAGGTGAAGATGTAAAGAGATATAAAGTAATTGATTATGTGTTAATCAAATGTGACATAACCTCTGCTATCTTCAAACACACCTTCTCTGTGCTTGTGCAGATCTGGATGGCATTGGGAATCAGACGAGCCGTTTTCTCTCTGGTCATAGTCACGATGTCTTTAAGAGTCAGTATAATCTGTAGGAAAAAGGTGAGTAGTTAGTACGCACATTGCTTATCAAAAAATGATATAATGAAAAAAATTCAACCCTTGGATACCAATGTTGTGATCTACATCCTCCTTCACTCAGGAGTCAAATTCTGATGACATCTTAGAATGACTTTTAGCAACTCCCAAGGAGAGGCTTGAACTTACTGCTCACAGCAGAAATGTTGCATTATCATATGATCGACTCCCGCAAGTAATGTATCTTACTTGCTGTTGTAGCTTGGTTTTTCATCTGTTGCACGTGATTGCAAACTAGAATTTCTTGCCATTTGTATTTGAGGAACTGAAAACTAAATTCTGATATTCATGGTGTGTACTTTGTATTGCTGAAAACATTAAAAATGTACATTTCTCTATATTTTTTGCATCATCTCTTGGGAATAACAAACAAATAATAAAAATACAACAAAAAAAAAAACAACTAACCGTTTTAATCAAGTGTTTTAGGGTGGATTTTTTAAAATCCTGCACACTGCATTTTAAAAAAAAGGTAGTGAGCAGTTTGAAAATAGTTAATCATTGTTAAAATGTACATTAAAGAAGAATGCAAATAGTTAGCTATATTATAATATAATCCTCCACATATTCGGTTTCTTTGTCCACACATTTGCGGTTCCATTAATGTGAGCACAATGTGCTTCCAGACTGTACAACCTCCCCCCTTTCCCTCGGTCCTCATCCACTCTCCAATTACCTTCGTACCCCGAAACACATTGCTGTAGAAACAGATCCAGTTCTTTGCGAGGTAGAGGCGTCCCTGAAGGAGGATGTCCCGCTGGAGGGCACACGGGTAGTCTGGGGAAAAGTATATATAGGGCTGCTGAAGTCATCCATACAAATGACTGCCTGAGGTGACACACTACATCTATAAAACAGACCACTGTAATAAGATGGTGTGGGATTTACCTTCTTACACTTTATATAAAGACAACATGTAACCATTTATATTTCAGTTAAGATCAATTTAAATTCAAAGTCTAGTCACCATAGCCTTGTGGTTTCCAGATGCTCCTGTGTCATGCTCGAGTTAGAGGGTCACATGTCTGTTCTATTACATCATTTTCCATTTAATGCAACAGTGTGGCAATAAACAAGGAACCTTATCTTCAATGAAACAAGAAAACGCAGGTACGGAGTATGTGGTTTTATCACCGTGTGGCACAATGTTTAAAGCTGTCTTTAGATATATTTAAGTGGGGATTTAAGATAAATATAGGGTACCTGGTTAAAATATTGGCCAGTGACATTGTGTTAATGTGACTGTAGGTTCTTCTTGAACCAGAAACCACAAATGCTCACACTGTAAGGATTCGTCTAAATACTTTTTCCAGAGCCATTTCCACTTTGGAAAACAAAACAAGGACTATTTTGTCTTTTTATGACCTTAAAATCTTTGCGCAAATTTATAAAATATGGAAAATTGAAATTATGGCACTCGGTAAAGACTATCATCAAAAATAAATGAAGGAATAAATATCTGTATCATGGACCAACACTTCTACTACTATGAGAAGAAGTCTTCATACAACTCACCCACTAGGAGTCTCTCTGACTCCGGCAGTTCTTTGAACAACTTCTTAAATTCATCCAACCTCTGTTTGTATGTCGGCAGAGGAGTTTGAGGTACTGCAAGACACTGTCCCTGAGGGTCGGAGCTCTGGTGGAGGAGATATGAACATTAGTTCTTTCTTTGTACACACAAAAACAAGTGATGAGCTATAATTCTGGCCAGAGGTTAAAAGAGGAAGACAGACAGACATCATCTCCTGTGAGTTTGAGCAGATGATAAACAGCATTGTGAGCCTTTTGGGCTTTGCGTCCAAGAGACAACAGCAATCCCACTTGTGTGAGGTGAAACATGGTGTCATGACTCTGAGCCACAAGAGAGCAGTTAAATGTTTCCATGCCATAGTTTGCAGTAGCTTTGTGTTAACTGGGACAGTGTAGTGTTTTTTTTTTACCTGTTCATCAGAGCTCCACTTGACATCCACCATGGATGTCGACTCATCTGTAATATCATCACTGACCACTCCTGAGGGGTTGGATACCTGGTCCATCTCTGCTGCGTTGCTTAAATAAATAAATAAAAAAACATGTGCTCTGTGAAACTTCTTCAGCCCCGCTACAGATTGATGATGACAACACATTTCAATCCCTCCAGCAGTGCCATAAGGAGAGAAAAAAAGATAAGGTATGGGTCTGTGAGAGTTTAACTCAAACATGATCTGAGCCTCGGCGGTAAATGTTATGGAACAAGGATACTCGGCACCACAGGGGAAGTCATAATCACTGCAACAGAACTGGTTTGACTAGGAGGGTTAAATGGAGGCAGAAGTGAAGTCCTGCCAAAGAACAGAAACCTTTATGCACTTATAACTCATATGATATATGGAAAAAATATCTTTAAGAGAACGGATACATGTCACAAAGTTAAAAACATTTATACAAATTTAAAGAAACTTTCCAACATCCCAAACTCCCAAACTCTGTGTGTGTGCTGTCAGATTGTGCCGGCTGATTGGCGCTATCATAACGATCTACGAGAAGTCTTATCAAACAAAACCCACATGATAAAAGCGGACCTACTACTTTTACGCACAGCGCCATGAGCACCCGGGCGAGCTGAACCTCCAACATGTCTCTGCACGCGGGTTACCGACCTAAGACTAAACTGTTGTTGTCACTTACCCGGCACGGAGTGGACCCAGGATTTCTGTTCTCTCCGAGTGCGACCGAGTTAAAAATAAATAAATTAAAAAGTCAAGGCTAAGCCAGTTTGTCACCCACACAGTTTTGGAGCACTTCTGATGCGCTGTGCTCGTGCGCCTTGTTGCATGTGCATCTCATCTGCTCAGAGGAACATACTTAATGGGAGTTGTCATCTCATCCGTGACGCTCATTGGTCTTCACTTAACTAGTTAATGACTCCAAAATGGCATCTCTCCCTTAATTTATTCAGGTGTGGAATCCATGGAAAGCAAAGTACATTTGCATTCCAAGTATTCAGGTGAAAAAGCTACTGCAGTAAGTTTATTCAATTTAAAGGTGTTTGACTTTCACACCGTTTCATTTTTTAAAATCAGAACACTTTATGAGGACTTCTATTAATTCGATTCACCAAATAAAGCTCAGAGCTTTTCAAAAACAGTAATTAAAAGTATATCAAATGAATTCTGTGAACAAAGGATATAAAGGGCAGGGTGCCGGAGAATGAGTGATATGCAGAGAAACCAGTTCAGCAACTCAGACAGCATCGTCAGGAACAATCAGATCACGCAGGCAAACACAACGTTTTTCTTTTTCCCCCTCATGTTTTAATTCTTCTGCAGTAACATGAAAGTGTTGGACAGCAGAGCGTTGACTCTTACACATTCACACAGCAAAGTACACAACACTGCACAGCGTGAAACACAACCGTAAAAAGGAAAAGAACGGCAAAGCCTTCACGTCAAAATGCCGGCAATAAATAGGCTGATCTTATTAAATTTATATTCAATACTCTTCTGTACAGATGGTCTATGAATTACAATACATCAACCAAACAATCCTCTTCAGGAAGAGCAACACGGATACACCAAAAAAATCATGTAAACAGAGAAAGGAAGAGAGGGTGGAAGAGATCCTTCTTTCGTACACACATTAAATCCACACACGCACGCACATATGATCAACGACCATGCAGAGGATCCAGAGTGCGCCTGTATGAGGCAACAAAAAATAATGAATACAGTACATCTTTCTCTTTTCCCTCCATATGGAATTGCACTCACTCACACAATCACTCAGAAAAGGAGCACAGAGCACGCAGGTTTTGGGGATACGAGGAGGTGGAATGTGATTCTGCAGTGGAGGGTCCAGAGATGAATACTGGAAAGGCTGCGAGAGGTGGCGGCCTATTCTTCCAACGTGCGGAAGGAGTTCTGCATGTCCTCCACCAGCTGAGCGTACTCTGCCTTGATCTTGGCCTCGCCCTCCTTCACCGGGTCCTGTACCAACAAAGAAACACAGTCTCACAACGCGAACAAAAAACAGGAAGAGTAGGCAGATTCTATGCATGAGCTGTGGTGCCTGAGCTATGGCCGTCATCCTCACAGTGTCCTACAGATGTCATATCAATAATACGCTTTTAAATAGGCTGCCCCATTGGAACATTATACCGATAGAAACGGTGAAATCTTTTAGTGAATTAAATGTATTGTTTAGGCATCTTAACTGGATATTATCGACACGGTTGTCTCAGCCTGTTTGCATTTATTGTCCTAAGAATGTTTTCATGCTACACCCTTGGCCAGGTCTCTCTTTAATAATGACAAAAGAAAACCTGATGGGTAGAGGTCATAGCAACAGGTATTTTTAAAGCAACTTTCTGATTGTGATCGTCACAACTCTTAAACGCACTCAGTGTATTGGAGCAAACAATACGTCTACAAGCTCGAAATAATCCTTTTAAGAATCGGCACAAAGCGACTGATGTAAAGGCAGACTAACCACACATTACAAACAAAGAATACTGTATGTTGACAAGGCAAAAGTCTTACACACAAACACACCTTAAATTTCATTGAGCTGATCCTGTAGAGGATTTCTCCCATGTGCTCCTTGATCATGGCCCAGGTGATCTTGTTGTCGCTCTGAGCTGTGGTCTCCACTGCGTGCCGTGCCATGTCGTAGAAAGAGATCATGTTGGAGAGGATGCCCACCGTCTTATAGAAGGGACAGAACCTGAGGACAATGGACACAAATCAGTCAGCCATTTTGGATCAAATACCCCAAAAGTGGAGTTTCACTTTCTCTCCAGAGTGTCCAATATCTATTAGAACTCAGGTCAGTGCCTGAGTGGGACTAAAGGTGAGTGAGTAGATGCTACGTTGGGTGTGATGCTACCTGTCATAAGGTGTGTAACCGTTCTGCTGCAGGAAGTCGTCTTTGATCAGTTTGGCCACCTCCAGGGTGATTTTATCCGTTTCTGCCAGTGATGCCTGTTTAAAAAATATATATATATATTTAAATGAAAGAAATGTTTTGTAGAAAGCAGATATGGAATAAATGTGATCTTTTTTTTCTGCTACGTGTGTTTATCTTTGAAGTTACATACTGGGAAAGGAAAAAAAAAAAATCAAGTAAAAGTTCATCCAAAGATCAACTTAACGCTGAATTACCTTTCCGACGAGCTGCACAATCTCAGCCAGGTCCTCCTCCTCCTGCAGGATCTCCTTGGCCTTGGTACGCAGGGGCACAAACTCGGGGAAGTGCTTGTCGTAATACTCGTCCAGAGCTCGGGTGTATTTGCTGTAGCTGATCAGCCAGTTCACTGAGGGAAAGTGCTTCCTCTGAGCCAGCTTCTTATCCAGACCCCAGAACACCTGAGAGAGGAAATTACATAGTTGAGGAAAGGAACTGAGCACCTTCAATCAGAAAAGCTTGATTAGAATATGAATTTGACCATTTACCTGCACAATACCAAGGGTGGCTGAAGTGACAGGGTCAGAGAAGTCACCACCAGGAGGCGATACACTGAGAAAGGAACAAACAGTTTCGTTACAGTACATACAAGACGTGCAGAGTAATGTCTCCCTCTAGTGGCATAAAGCTGTACTCACGCTCCTACAATACTGACGCTGCCCTCCCTCTCGGGGTTGCCCAGACACTTCACCCTGCCAGCACGCTCATAGAAGGAGGCGAGGCGGGCGCCCAGGTAGGCTGGATAACCACTGTCTGTGGGCAGATACAGAAAATAAGAACAGTGAAAAACAGGTGCCAAAGTGGTGCTTTTAGCCAAAGATTATCTCTTCATTTGTACACCGATTTACATACTTTACTTTTACAATTTAAAAGAAAGCAACAGCATCAATGAACATAACTCATATACGGAGCATTGACATTCTTATTTTCTTTGAAGCACATTCTAAAATAATGATGTGTGATTTCTGCAGAGATCTGGGATCTTCTCTCAGGGAAAATGGTATTTTGACATATTACCTTCAACAAATATTGCACCTCCTGCAGTTTAAAAATTATTTGTTTGAGCCAACAGTCCAAAACTCCCCAAAATAATCAGTTCACCATCAAAGAAGACTGAGCAAATCTTGGGGTATTTGTGCTTCATTTCATTTTAAATTTTCATATGTCAATCAACTAAACGATCTCCAGGAGACTCCAAACTTACCAGCAGGCATCTCAGCCAGACGGCCAGAAATCTCCCTGAGAGCCTCGGCCCAACGGGAGGTGGAGTCGGCCATCATGCTCACGTTGTATCCCATGTCTCTGAAGTACTCAGACAGCGTGATTCCTGCCAGAACAAACCGAGTTAGTGTGCAGTACTCGTGTGTGTGTGTGTTAATCTCCAGTGAATGAGACTCTTTATTCCAACACATCTAAGTGGTCAACGAGTATTCACCTGTGTAGATGGAGGCCTCTCTGGCCGCTACAGGCATGTTGGAGGTGTTGGCCACCAGCGCTGTTCTCTTCATGATGCTCTCCGTCTTCCCGTCCACCTCCATGGTCAGCTGTGGGTCAGACGGCACCGTCAGTCACTCTGAACATTAATCAAGTTGGAACACAACGCCGCCGCTATCGCTACCCACCTCAGGGAAGTCTCGCAGTACTTCTGACATCTCGTTACCGCGCTCCCCGCAGCCAACGTAGACGATGACGTCGCTGTTGGAGTACTTGGACAGGGACTGAGAGATGACAGTCTTTCCACAGCCGAAGGCTCCTGGGATGGCTGTGGTACCTCCCTGCACACATCTTCACACAGAGAGGAGAGAGGTGGGTACAGGATGGGGGGGGGGGGGGGCATTTTCAACATGTCTTGAGTTAAATGGTTAAAGAGGAGGATGAGAGACTCACGGGAAAAGGGCATCTAGCACTCTCTGTCCGGTCAGCAGCGGGTGATTGGCGGGCAGCTTCTCTGTGACGGGTCGCACTTGTCTGACGGGCCACACCTGCAACATGGTGAACTTCTCCTTCACCCCCTCAAACTCCAGCTCCATCACCACGTCCTGACACAGAGACGCACACACCATCAACACCAAGGCAACAACTAACAGGCAAACAAATAAGAAAGCTGGTAGCTGAAGGTGTGGCGAACTCACGGAGACGTCGTAGTTTCCAGGTGGCGCCACGTAGGTCACGGTGCCTCTGTTTCTGGGAGGCAGCATGATCTTGTGCTTGATGAGGGAGTTCTCGTACACCATGCCATAGATGTCGCCTCCTGTGATGTGACTGCCAACCTAACGGTGATTTAAAAAAAAGGAAAGCTGACATAAATCTGATCATTTAAACAAGCCACGCTGAAGGTTTGAAGCTGCACAGACACACACACCCGCAGGCTTTTGACAGGAGAAAACTCCCACTTGAGGTCTCGGTTCAAGGCTCCGATGTTTACACCTCTGGGGATGTAGATGCTTTGTGTGAGGTCATTGATGTCCTTTAGTGGTCGCTGGATACCATCAAAGATGGAGCCCATGATTCCTGGACCCAGCTCCACAGAAAGGGGTTTCCCCGTCCGCAGCACAGGATCTCCAACAGACACCCCAGCTGGATTCAAGCTCAGGGAAAAATGTTTGGACGGGAATGTTGGAATCCTATCTTCTCATTCTTACAGAGCTGTTAATAAATATTAGATGTCAAAATACAACATTGTTATCACTTCTTTTTTTCTCTTGTGCCATTTTTGGCCCGATGGCTAAAAGCAGCCATACACTGGATCAATATGAAAGCTGTGACATCGAGTAAAGACAGGCACGTGGTGGAAAGGATACAGGTCTCCTCGTAGACCTGGATGGTGGCCATGTCTCCCTCCAGCCTGATGATCTCTCCCACCAGCTCACTGTGGCCGACACGGACCAGCTCGTACATAGCTGCTCCTGCCATGGCGGTAGCTGTCACCACTACGAAAACAAAACAAGTGTAAACAATCCAGCTGCATAGAAGTTAAACAATCAAAGAGCAGCAGCTGAAGAAGTCTGTGCACTTCTATTTACTGTTTCAGCTAAAGTATTGTTTTAAAGGCTTCTGTAGGCATTCTGTTACGAGTGCTCAGTTAAGAGAGAGTTTGGTATTGATTATAGTGTTTGTGCCCACCGGGTCCGGAGACTCCATGAACGAATCCAAACTCGCTCTCCCTCTCCTCGTCCCTGATCTTGGGCAGCTTGGACATGTCCATCTTCACTGCTTTATTAAGATAACTGGAAGCAGAGCAGAGCAGAGAGGACAATGTGAGGACGACATCAGGCAACACAGAATGAAAATTAAACAGAAGTCTGCAGGAGAGGCCATCCTCTCCTCGGCAATGGTCCCTTACAACAACAACAACAACAACACTGTGTCTACATCTTCACTGTTGATACGTTTTATTAGCAGCCATAAAGCAGCTGTGGGTAAGAGCTCTTTAATTAATGCTTTTACAGTGAATTTCATATGAGACCACACTGTGCTTTAGTACCAGTCTGTTTAAGAATGGAGCGAACTGGTTAATATGAAGAGAAGGAAATCTATATATGGTCATACAAGATAATGACTGTGTGCAGCAGATTGCATCGCTTTGTACAACTTTAAATGCTGATGCTAACTCAAACATAAAACACTTTGTTAGTATATTATTCTCTGTAAAAGTAAAGTTCTTGTGCATCCTTTTCAGTGTTTAAAACAAAATGGGTTTTCACAACAGATTCAGACTTTTCTCAAAATAAAAAAAAAGGTAGAAAATGTGTTATAAAATAAAATGAATCCCAAAATTCAGAGATAAATACTGTCATGGCACCGTGCCGGTGCTGGCACCTCCTACTGTTACCATGGAAACCGACAGGAAAATACGGCAACACGACTGCCTTTCTCAGCATTACGGTGCCTGATCCAGGCCAATGCCGCCCTCCTCCTCCTTCTCCTCCTTCTCCTTCTTCTTCTCCTTCTCCTCCTCCTCCT